GCAAAAAGCTTTCCACTAGTTGTCTAGTCTATGTGTTCTCTGGTTAGTGGTAATATCCTTGTGCTCTTTCAAAATACTACTAGTATTTTATTAATGCGATATTCGCGAAATACTAAGATTTCAATGAAAATAAGAGGAAAGAAATATCGATTATTAAAGGGATCAACCCTGTCATTGTAGGATAGAAAATATATCGATGTAAATTGATACGATATTACCATTCCTAAGCAGCACATTGCATGTGGAATGAAATTGATAGAAAATTTGTTTTTGGAAATAAACACAAAGAAAGACAAGTATAACTTAGTTTACTAATGTCCAAGTATTTATAAAAAGAATTGAGAATTGTTTTTACTATTGTATATAAGTGGTTCAATATTCTAGCGACGAATGCTTCAGGTAAAATACGTTTTGAAAACGAAAACGGACGTAAAGTAAAATTACATGATGACATTTCTTACCACAATGCAATTAGTTGACGTTGCGCTCTCTCATTGCATATAAATAATAAATCATAGTGCAAATACAATATATAGTTTTTAAAAAATTATTTTTTAGATCGTTTCAATACTAGTGCACAAAACGGAAATAAAGGTCGTCAGTTTTTTTAATTATTCCATTTTCTTTGTGTCGCTGTCGCTAGAGAGTTGCTCAGGTAATCTTTCTATCTCCCTCTCTTCCCCTCTTTCTCACTTCGCTCTACCCTGTTGGTCGCATGTGCGCCAACGTCGCAACGTCGGCAAATACATGTATGTAGGTAAAAGCATGATTAAACAGTAAAGAAAATGCAGAGGCTTACTGTAATTAATTTTTAAATTTGATAAATGTTAAATATTTAGAATATGCAAAATGTAATTTGTACACATATAAAATATCTATTCAACATTGTTGTAGACTATAATATAATGCTTACGATTTGAAAACTTGCAGGCTGTGTACTCGTTCCGAAATTATTAGAATTGCCTTGACAGATTATTTTCTATATAATATCAAAAACATATTTGCAGGTACGAGCCATCACCATCAGTATTAACATTTATAATAATTTTATTATTATTCACAGAAGAATAATCAAATGGTTGTGTGACAGATTGATAAACGGGGTCTAAAGTCATCCCGGAGATCGCCAAGTAAACGGTATAATAAACCGTTTGACGACTTCCGATAACAAACGGATTGGTCAATTCGTAATGCAACCAGCTGCTCCAACACTATCAACACAACCCGATATTGCTAAAGCCATGCAGCCCCAAAATATGGTAAGGTCCCATATTAGTTGTCTCTTGTATATTTTTATTTTTATTTTTATATGTATACATGTGTATTTTATGCTCTCACTCTTCATACAAAAGCTAAAAGCTTCAAGAATAATTTTGTTCAAATCTCTCAATAATATTTTCGCAACGAGAAATTGATTTGTTAATATTTTCTGAGTCTTATGTTTAGTAATTGATAATTTGCATACAATGATAACACTGATCAGCAGATTTAAGGTAACAAGCATCAGACACTTATACGAAAATCTCCAACGTGGTAATATTTTATTATAATTAAAAATAATTAACAATTGAAGATTCTACAATATTCTAAATATATAGCAAGCCCATCAAATTTGATTTTTAAATCATATTTCTTCTGCTCCACGTTTGAAAAGATGTAAAGAAAAATAACTTTTATGAAAGTGCTTTACGTTTCAAAATAATCATCGATTAGTTGTGACTTCCGGTATAGTACTATTCAACAAAAATCCACTTTCACACCGTTAGTTCGGGACGCTCTTAATATCACTACTATTAAGGAGCCACCTGCAATAACAATATAAATTAAATTACTTCAAAATCTTAATCGATATGGAGGCCATGTAAATCAAGCGCTTAACAATATATATAAAGGGAGGCACACAATTTCCTACTTATATATGATGACAGTAATTGTTGTTGTTTTTTTTTTTTTTTTTTTTTTTAAATAAAACTTTTTTTTTTTTTTTTTTTTTTTTTTTTTTTAAATAATAGCTTCTTTATTTAGTTGCTAGTATCGTTGGTTTTTTTTTTTTTTTTTTTTTTTTTTTTTTTTTTTTTTTTT